ACCACTGAACCGCCAGGGAAGTTCCTAGATGACACTCTTTTCTAGTCGGTCATTTTAAATTAACCAGTGGCAGTTCTTACATCTCCTTCCATTTTGGCTCCACTCTAAGCCCTCTAATACCATAAATATTAACATCCAGTTAAACTTGCCATTTTATTCCATGACTTCTGCCACCTAAAGTTCTGCGACAACAACCTTTAGTGACAGCCTCAAAAACCACTTTGCTACAAGAGAATCAGCCACGCTGCAAATGCCTACAGTGTACTCAGCGCTGCTGGAACCCCCCTCGCCTCTCCCCATGGCACACACAGGTTTTCACCATGAGGTGGACACCTACAATGAGACACCTTTGAAATGATGCCAAAATCCGCCCCCCACCTCCCAAACTCTGCAACTTTACCCTGGGTCCTTATTATGGGCTGAATCGTGTCCCCCCAAAATTCATGCTGAAGCCCTAACCCCCAGTACCTCAGAATGTGACTGTATTTGGAGAAGGGTCTTTAAAGAGGTAAGTTAAAATGAGGTCACTAGGGTGGGCTCTAATTCAATATGACTGGTGTGCTTATAAGAACAAGAAATTAGATGCACCCCAATGTTCACTGCAGCACTGTTTACAATAGTCAAGACATGGAAGCAACCTAAATGGCCATTGACAGATGAATGGATAAAGAAGATGTGGTATATATATACAATGGAATATTACTCAGCCATTAAAAAGAATGAAATAATGCCATTTGCAGCAACATGGGTGGACCTAGAGATTATCATACTAAGTGAAGGACGTCAGGCAGAGAAAGACAAATATCCCATAATATTGCTTATATGTGGAATCTAAATAAAATGATACAAATGAACTTATTGACAAAACAGGAACAGACTCACAGACTTAGTGAACAAACTTATGGTTACCAGGGGGGAAGGGTGGGGGGGGGAGGGATAGATTGGGAGTTTGGGATTGACATGTACACACTGCTGTATTTAAAATAGGGAACCAACAAGGATCTACTGTATAGCACAGGGAAAGCTGCTCAACATTCTGTAATAACCTAAATGGGAAAAGAATTTGAAAAAGAATAGATACCTATATATGTATAACTGAATCACTTTGCTGTTCACCTGAAACTAACACAACATTGTTAATCAACTATGCTCCAATATAAAATAAAAATTTTAAAGAACGAACAAGAAATTAGGACACAGACACACACAGAGGGAAGCCCACGTGAAGACACAGGGAGAAGACGTCCATCTACAAGGCAAGGAAAGAGGCCCTCAGAAGAAACCAACCCTGCTGACGCCTCGATCCCAGACTTTCAGCGGTCTCTAGAATTGGGAGCAAATTAATTTCCGTTGCTTAAGTCACCCAGTCTGTGGCACTTTGTAATGCCAGCCCCAGCAAACTAATACAGCCCCTTATGTCCACTGAAGGTATTTAACAGCGATTCTCACTTCATGTCCTAGGGAATAGACCAGAAAAGCAAGATGAAAACTCCAGTCTTGCGCTATCACACAAGACTGACCCTTTACTGCTCCTCGTCTCTTCTGCATAGTCCTTCTCTCTCTCATTGCCCACTGTTTGTCTTTTCTCTCTTCCAGGCACTGGCACCTAGATTCTGAACTGTCACACCCCAGAGCAGAGCAGGGAAAGGGGGAGGGGGAGGGCTGGGGGAGGTAGAGAAGGTGTGAGGTGGGAAGGGGAGGGCCAGAATCGGAGCCCAAAATGAGGGGCTGACAAGGGGGAGTGGGGGCAGAGAGGCACAGCCAGGTATCAGGACCCTGAGCTTGGGTTCGGTCACAAATTGTCTCAGATGTCTACAAACACTTTCTCTCTGCCCAGCGCTAGGTTTGCGGGGCCATCCAGAAGGGTTTTTTCACGCTACAGCATCTCAACATCACTTCTGGACCTGAGGGGAGGTCAAAGATATCAGCAGTCCTGTTGCACAGCAGCCAGTCTATGACCATAACGAATACGGACAAGGCTGCCTAGTCACAGACAGCACAGGGCATCCCCAGAGCTGGCCTCTCCCTGAGAAGTCAGTCAGCAGTGCCCTCACTCACCTACCCAGACTCCCCTGGAGAGCAGAGGCTGGTAGGAGCCCGGTTCTCATGTAGGGGGAGTCAGGGAAGGCAGGAATGGGGTAACTCCACATTTCGTGATTCCAGGCCCCTGCTGAAGCTGACGCCGGAGCCCTGCTCGCTCCCCTTTAAGCTCTGAGTGGCTGTGAATAAAAAGGGAAGGGCCTCGGGCTTCCCTGGTGGCGCAGTGGTTGAGGGACCACCTGCCAATGATCGGCAGGGGACGTGGGTTCGTGCCCCAGTCCGGGAGGATCCCATATGCCGCGTAGCGGCTGGGCCCGTGAGCCATGACAGGCTCGAGGCCCGTGTACCGCAAAAAAAAAAACAAAAAGGGAAGGGTCTCAAGGAAGAGAGTGGGGAGGGAGGGTGTCACAGAAGCATCAGGAGGGAGATAGGAAAACAGAGATGCCATAATGCCCATGGTGTGACATGATACATCCACCTCCAGGGTCCAGGACAGGCCCCCTGCTCCATCCCTAGGCCACAGAGCACCTCCACCTGCAGAGGACTCACCTGGCTCCTTGCGGTGTCGCGGGTAACAGCTGCCCCAGTCGCACCCGGATACTTCCTCTTCCCCTTCCCCCTTTCCACCAAGCCAGGCAGACTCTGCCTCACCTAATCCTGCTTGGCAGGTGGATTCTTTGGAGGAGGGACAGACAGCTCTCCTCCCCCTCCTAAAGAGACACGCTGGGTGTTATTCCTAAAGTCTAGCGTGTCGTGGAGCTGATCCACCAAGAGCTGGCTGCCGGGGTCTCAAAGGAGCTCGCAGGGACATGGGGCCAAAATGCGGCTGCAGCATCCCTTGAAGTGCTTCTCTTATGACCCCAAAGGCAGCCAAGCAGGGTCAGATCCAGCTGAGGTCAGAACCCCAGCAGCACATGTGGGATCCATGCATGTGTACAAAAAGACCTATCTTTTTTAAGTTTGCTTTAGACTTTAGAGGGGCCGCCCAGAGCCAGGGGAAGGCAGGATCAATAACTGCTTTGTCTTTGAATCCCAAAAATGAGAAACAGCGTGCCCAGCCCATGCTGAGTGCTTAAGAAATGTGTCCAAATAAAGACTAGCAGGAAAAGGAAAGGTGACTCCCGAGCAGGCCTGGGCCCAGGTGGAAACACAGACAGAGCTGAGTCTGCGGCGTCTGAACATCACAGCCAGCCATAGGGACACAGTTCATTCAAGTTTCCATTTCTGGTCAAAATATAAGAAATTAAGGGGATGGCCAAGGTGAAGACATGCTGTGGAAGACCCCGCTGGAGGAGCTAGTGGCCCAGCCCATACCTCCAATTTCTGAAGACTGTGCCCACCTACAGCGCCTGGGTTGATGCTCTAGGTGAAAGAAGGGACAGGTTAATTCAAGGACGAGATGTCACAGCTCCTGGGGCATTTACAGTAACTGCAGCACTTCGCCCCGCTCTGTATAAGAACACAAAAATATTATATGGCAATGTTGGGAAAGAATGTTAAAAAGCAAAAGAATGCGGTATAAGCAAAAAGATTGGATTTAATGTGAATTTTAAGATGTCGATCTATATCTACACAGCCGTCAGAAACGTTGTAATCCACTTTTGTAAGTAATCAGCACACACTCACGTTGTATCCCGGTTTAGCCAAGGTATCCACAAGTTCACTGGTTTCCCGTTGCTCTTTCCAAGCTCTGCCCACTGAAATCAGACTTTCACAAGTCCTACCTGGCTGACACATTAGCCAACAACCACTAGTGAGCACCTCCCACGTGCCAGACACCACATTAGGAGCTGGGGTACAAGGACCAAGAGACCGTAGCCCAGCTTTGGAGGAGCCTGCACCTTGGGGAGAGGCAGTCTTCAGGTCTCCTGCAGAGGCTGCCACGGGGACACTGAGAGGACAGCAGAGGGTCATCTCTGGACTTAGGAGGCCTTCACAGAGGACATAAGCCGAATCAGCCATCAGCCAGAGGGACAGCATGGGGAGGGTTCCCAGCAGAGGGGACAGTGGGTGCCTACACTGACCTTACATGCCTCCTTCACTAGGCTAGGAAGGATGTTCTTTTTTCTTTTTTTTTTTTTTTTTTTTGTCTTCCCCAACCAGGGATCGAACCCAGGCCCTCGGCATGGAAAGCGCAGAGTCCTAACAACTGGAACGTCAGAGAATTCTCGGAAGGATGTTCTTGTTCACAAGCAAAGCTGCCCATATTTTAGGAAGCAGTTCCCTTTCAGAGATTTCAGGTATTTTTTTCCAGGTATTTATTTTATGTTTTTGTTTTTGTTTTGCTGTACGCAGGCCTCTCACTGTTGTGGCCGCTCCCGTTGCGGAGCACAGGCTCCAGACGCGCAGGCTCAGTGGCCATGGCTCACGGGCCCAGCCGCTCCGCGGCATTGTGGGATCTTCCCGGACCGGGGCACGAACCCGTGTCCCCTGCATCGGCAGGCGGACTCTCAACCACTGCGCCACCAGGGAAGCCCCAGGTATTTATTTTAAACCAAACCTATCAAGGAAAGGTAAAATGTCAAGATCTCCATCTTTTTTAATTAAAGTATAATTGATTTACAATGTTGTGTTAGTTTTAGGCATACAGCGAAGTGATTTAGTTACACATACATATCTATATATTCTTCTTTAGATTCTTTTCCATTATAGATTATTACAAGATATTGAATATAATTCCCTGTGCTATACAGTAGGTCCTTGTTGTTTATTTTATATACAGTAATGCATATCTGCTTATCCCAAGATCCCAATTTATCCCCTCCCTCCTTCCCCCTTTGGGAACTGTTTGTTTTCTACGTTTGTGAGTCTGTTTCTGTTCTGTAAATAATTTCATTTGTATCAAGATCTCCATCTTCAAGCACATTCCACCTCAATTATGGAAAATATGGTCAGTCTCAAATATATGATTGCTTGCTTTTATTGGAATTTATGACTAGGGAGCAGCAGGAACTCCCTCAGCAAATCAGACTGTAAGTCTGGGCAGATGGCAGGTAGTCTGCGTAGAGACCCTTACCATGCTGGTCAGGCGTCATCCACGAGGGCATCATGAGCTTGACGTACTCAAGGTGGCGCTTAAGGCGGCCGTAAATGTCCCTGGGGAGCACGTCCTGGAGGTTCTAACCTCGTGGCAGCATCTGACAGCTGGTGAGGGCCGAGATAGTGTAAAGGTCCATGAGGTCCAGCTCAAAGTACACGATGCTGCTCTGCTGAAAAGCCTCCTTGGAGGTGTCCGGGATGAAGTCCCAGACCCGGGTGTACGGGACACGGATCGTGCCAGAGAAGTAAGACAGTGGGTCCCGCTTTATGCTCCACAAGAAGGAATTCAACTCATTTTGCTAAAAGGAAAAGAGACAACATCAAGGCATGATATGGAGGGACAGGAACCTGAGAGGTAAATTAGACAGACGAGTCACCCTGCAGGAGAAAAGTGATCAAAATAGTCCAGGCAGATTCACCTACCAGGGGCAGGAGTCCTCAAAGCAGACTGAATTTCAGCATCCCTTCCCTTTTCTCATCGAAATGTTGATTAAAGATGAGAAAGCAATACAACCACCAGCTTTGAGTTTGCCCCATGCCTGCTCTAGCAGCTGGACAGGAGTTAAAGAGGGGATTCTCAAGGGACTACAAGGACGCACCTGGTACAGGTAAAGGGACACCTGAGGAGCCCACTGTTACCTCCCAGGCACACCTGGTGGTTTCTACTTCTTCGGATCTCAAATTCAACAACCCCAAAGGCAGAGTATCTCAACTCTGGCTGCACATTTGGAATCACCTACAAAGCTTCTAGAAGTCTGATATCTGGGTCTTATCCCAGGTCAATCACAATGGGATCTCTGGAGGTGAGAT